ATCCTATATTGCTTATAAAAGAGTTTGGAAATGTATAGTTTTACATTAAAAGTGAAAAAAGTTTTTCATGCAGTTAAACTAAAATAATTTTTAATATATGTATGTAGAAGATCTCGCGAGATCTGTTGACGCTCAAAGTATGTTTTAGAAAGGAATCGCAGCTACTACCACACTAAATTATAGCTCAATATTTATCAAATTCAGAGTTAAAGCTGTTGTGTTTGATCCTAAAGTTAATCAGCTGTAAATATTGGCTAGGCTAAATCAAATGATTGATTTCTGAATCCATCCAAGAGATTTTTTTGCTAACTCTAAAGTGAAAGAAGTGATTGTTAACTCTAAAGTTTTAGACAAGTTTGTCACCCAAAGTGCTCAAAGTGTGTGTTGGAGATGATTCTCAGCTACTACCATGTTAGGTTTTTAGCTTATTATTTGAAGAACTGTCTGAGTTATAACATGTTGGCTAAGATGTGGTGGCTAGGTATAATTGTATGCAACACCTGAGTTAGTGTGTAATTTGTTTAAATATTAAGTAAAATCTGGCCTTTTTATGTTTACAGAATTATTATTGTTTAAAAATTTGACCATGTACAAATTTTTAATGTGATATTTTAGAAAAAAAGTATTTCTGACAGCTAATAGTAAGTGTTTTCACAAGTATTAAATAATTAAACTACTGAGATTTTTTTCTTACCATAAAGTTTTACTTGCATAAATATAAAATGTTTGTAGCTGGCTTTAAATTCTGCTGAAGTTCTGGTGTTATTCTGATGCAGCAGGTTTATATTGTATAAAACTTTTATACAACTGCATATTTTTATTTTGTGTGTGAACTGCTGTTTGTGATGCTGACTTTAACTTTCTTCCATTCAGCTGAAACACAACGGTCTTTGTTGGTCTGAGGGGTCACGTTTGGGTCAGAGATGATGGGTCGTAAGCTGGATCTGACGGGTCTGACGGACAGTGAGGCGGCACATGTCCTACAGGTGGTCCAGAGGGACATGAGGCTCCGCAAGACCGAGGAGGAGAGACTCAGGTGAGGTCTGACCTCCATTGTCAGACGTTTGTTTACTTTGTTCCCCAAACTTTTATCAAACTATTTCCTCATCATCTCATAAGAACCAGAGATACGGATACTGAGAGCTGAATAACTGCTAAAATGTGCAGAAGAAGCTAAAACTGAGTTGTTATGGCTAAAATAAATGGAACACAGAAGCTAAGAGTAGCAAAACACCAGCTAAAAATAGCAAAGGACAAACTACAAACAACGCTATGGTAGCTAGAAGCTAAAAGTGGCTGAATACTAGATACAAGTAAAAAGTAACTTAATAAGGATAATTCCAAGCTAAAAGACTAGCTGAAAAACAACTGGTTAATTTAAAGAGATATTAGTAGCACAAGGATGGCTACGAGCTAACAGCGGTAAAAGGCTATCTAGCTAAAGGTAGCAAAATGATAGCTAAAATTTTAAAGACTAGCTAATTAGCAGAACAGTAACTAAAAGCTAAAAGTAGGCTTAAAAAATTCAGCAAATATACTGAAGCAGATTTTAAAAAGGAACAATGTTTTTGATGGAACTAAAAAAAATCCCTTGTCTTTCTGTGGAGGGTGATACTTGTAAATAATGGTAAATATTTTGAAAGTATTAAAGTGACAAAAATTAAAAATCATAGCACCAATCTCCTGAAACAAGCTGATTTGATATTTACTAAAATTGTACAAATTATGTAAAAGTATTGGGTTGCAAAAAAATAAATGTATGTATGTACTGTATGTA